CTTCCAAAGAGGGAAAATACATTCTGCTACTTAAATAAACTTCAGTGATTTCTGATGAAGCAAAAAAACCCCTTTGTGTTTTGGCTATGAATTGCATGAAGCAAAGATACAAAGCAACAGAGAGTTGACACTCACCATGGGAATTAGTCTTATTTATAGTCACTCGACAGAGGGAAGGGGAAAAAGACGCCCAGACTTCAGAGCAATGGACAGAACTGAAGACACACACCATTCTGTAACACCAAACAAGAGAATGAAAGGTGTTTCTGGCTCCCACTTCTCAAAGTAGGGCCATGTGAAAATTAGCTTGGAAACTCTTTCAAAGCCTGATTTATGCCATCTCCATGCTGATCTGAATGAAGATCCCCATGAGACAAGATGTTGAGGCCACTGACTACCTGCTACCCCTCCACACCACCTGAGGATGATCACTGCAATAATCTGCACAAGAGAATCTTTCAGTTCCTAAATGATGCCAAAACATTCATCATTTGGGCAATATTTATGCATTTCTGTTAGGACAACTTTCAGCTGAAGATAGGTAGCAGCAAAAGCTAAAGTCCAACCATTTATCCTCAATTCTGCAGTTACACTTTCAAGTGGAGATTATCCAGCACCACCACTTGGCAACTGAAACACGGTCTTCCAACTTTATCTCTCCTTTATGTGCCTTTGTCCCGCTGTTCATCTATCACTCACAACATGTCAAATAACACAACTAATCTCTGTGCTTCCCAGAACAGTTTATCTGAAAGACACTCAACACAGTTTCTTAGGTATAAGGATCTCAGCACACCACCTAAAGCACATTGTTTAGCTTAACCAATTGAGGACACCAGTAAGAACTAAAATACAGTGTTTCCAGGTGTTTCATAGAAATAAAGAACCTTTACTGTAATGAAGATCATTGAATTTCCTTTCCTGTCTCATGTTGCTATTTTGAAGACACTTGGCATCATTGAAGATAACTGCCAGTAGTAAATTATTTGACCTTCATTAACCTAGCAAAAGGTAAACTTCATTGCTGTGAAAGCTACCAGGTATTTAAAAGAAGACAGCTTTTTGTGTTGTCAATATTTTGTTGCAAAACAAACCACCTACATGGGTCAAGTCTGTGCTAATTGCATTGTCTCCATGTGAAATAACTGCTTCCTAACGGGATTTGGGAAGAGGAAGGACACAGCCAATTTTCAGAGCAAGAGCCAGGCAAAACTTCTTGTTTCCCTTCTCTTCTAACACTGGGTCAAAGCACCAAAGACCATAAACAGGCGTGACTCACTTCTGCACCCTGTGATCTACTTTAATGGTTTAAGGTTTGTGCCAGTAACAGCAACTGAAACTAAAACATTCAAGATGACCTTTCAAAAAATGTCTTTGGTCCGTAACAAATCAGATGACTAGTACTATCAGAGCATTCAGCATTCCCAAAAAGAGAAATATTTCAGACCAAGTTTTCTATTAATTTCTTTTGTACTTTCTTCTTAATCACCTTGCAATGGTATGCTTTGCAAGCTGCTGCCTCAAAAAGTAATTTCATCTTGTTTGTAAAGAAGAAAAAAAATCTGAAGGTCAAACTAATTTAATGTCTGTCCAATGGTTAGGAAAAGTAAGTATGTCTTGTCCCAGAGAAGAATAACATGATGCAAAGCCTAGATTTCTCAGCAGACCTGTTTCCTTTAACACTAACAAAGACCGTAAGTCTCACTATACAAAAGCAGGAACACCTGCAGCCTCAGAAAGGCAACTTCCTCCACATAAACCAAGAAGATATTGAGATTACAAATGGGAGTGAGATCCACTGAAGTCAGATAATCATTAAAGGTGAAACATATAAGCAAACAGGTCATAAATCTATCAATTCAAGCAAAAAATCTTAAATGCATTAAAAAAGTTATTACTTCTCACTTCATTAGGCTGTCACCTTATCCAGTGTGATTCTGGAATGTGATTAACATCAGCACTGAAAATACTGTTTTTTCTGTACTTTTGAAGGAAGGAAAAACTCACATATCCATATAGGGTGTATTAGGCTCACAGCACAACTGTAACTGAAGGATACATTAGCTGAGTCCTTTCTCTTAGAGAACAGTAAGGAGGGTTCTGTAAGCCAGATCTAATACCTGGATGGCTACAAGCAATTACCCATCACAGAATCAGGCCAGAAAACTACCAGTTACAAAAAGCAAAGATCTCATTTTAGAGTTCAGCTTCAATACCAAACTCTGCTACTCTGTCCCACATACAGACCAATTAATGCACATTTGTGGGAGCATTCACTTCTCCCTTCTGTGTGTTTTTCCTTACTCTTAAACCAAATGTGTCAAGAACTTCTGTGTGAGATCACAGAGGTACTTCCGCAGTGTGAGAGAAAATTGCAGCAGCATCATGAAACAACTCACTAACTGGAGTACTCAGATTTACTGCTGAGTTTATTTACCTGTATATTATAAATAATTGCACTTGAGTCGCAGTCCATTCCTATACAGAGTCATGATTATCAGTGGACCAGATAGCGACACCTCAAACTCTTTACAGATTATACAGGTAGCCAGTGTCTACAGCTGGAATTTTGAAAACTAGCACAAGAAAGGCAGAAATAATCCAGAAATTATAACCAATGTAAATAGAAGTCTTACGATTATTATTTAAATAAAGGAGCTGGTATGCTGAAGTACAACACGTCTCTTTTTAGACATTATCCCAAACATCAACCAGATCCCTAAATAATTTCTGAGAAGAAACATGTTCTAATGGTAGATTCCTAATCCTCCTGGAGAAAGCCCAGATCATCTCCATTTAAGGTCAAGCAGGCAGCAGCTGCACATTTTTGTTCCCCAGAACAAAATGCAGCAGACCAAAACCTCCAACACAGATTCCTTTTTTTAAAGCTTTTCCTTTCTGATATCCACAGGTGTCTGGACCTGTTCACCCAGGAGTGAATGGAAACAGTACAATGATGTGCTCATATATCGTGTCTGTACTTGTCAGACTTGACATGTCCCATAAGCAGCACTTTGGCACCTGCCTCAGAACCCCAACAAAACTTCCATGAGTGAATGATGACTAACCTGAACTAGAAAAATGTTCTCAAGAGAGGAAAATGTTCTCAAGTTTGTTTTTAGAGAAACAACCTCAATACAAGATCTACAACACTCATGTGGTGTGAACTTGTACATGTTATTGTAATTTGCCAAATATATTTTCCATCTTAAAATTCTTGTCAGAGTTGACATTTAGAGAAGATGTGTAGTATGTTTCTGATGAAATCCTAGTATTTTTTCAGTGACTTAATTTGTACATTTAAGTATCACTCTTTAAAATGGAGACCAAGCTATGACCGTGTCAGCAGCTCTCAAACAAGACCAAATTCTTTCAAAGTATCTCATTGCTAAAAAACTCCAGTTCATTAAAAAAAGAGCCAAGAATTTGGGGTAGTGTAACTAAATAACATGACAATTTTACATCAATTTGGTAAAAGGGAGGAACGGCCTTGCAGCTGTTGTGGTGCTGGGTACTGGACTTCATAACAAAATATAGAAAGTGAATTTCAATAGTACAAGTTTCATAAAAAAGCAAACAATCCAATGTTAGCACTTTTCTTGGATAACAGCATGCAATAAAAACATGAAACTTCCCTCATAAAAAAAGCCAAATACAGTTTGCTTGACTGTGAGAGATTTATAATGTTAATAGTGCCATTATAAGTAAATTATGAAACACTTTGCACCAGTAAAGAACCATCACTCCTCATTGTGAAGATATTCAATTAACTTTCAGCTGAAATACGTGACCCCAGTACTCCTGGGTTTGATACGAAAGGACAGCTGAAAGCAGGCAGATTTATTATACTAAAACCAAGCTGCTAACTTCAACTGTGATATAACCAATTTTCAGAAGAGCTAAGCCATATTTACAAAAATAAAAAAAGAGCTCAAGTTAAAACAGGGTTGTACATCATCCCCAGAGCCCTTCTGTCTCTGGTTTGAACAATGTACTGCAGCAGGACTTACATGGAACAAAAAACACAAATGAAACCAAAAATACCCACCCTGTCTGGGTTTCTGCTTAAAGCCAAGCACTCATCTATGCTAAACAATTATTGTCAAAATTGAATCTATAAGTGTTCAGAGTTAGGCTGAGCTTCTGTATTTCTGCCTGCAATTTCCAAATCAGGAAAAGGCACATGCTGTCAGTTGCATCCACACAGAAAGCCTCATGCTGGATGCTCTCACTTGACAGCTTAATCCTTTCGCATTCAGTAAATCCTTCACTTCCCCAATGCACAAAACCTACTCTGCATATGCACTGTGTTATCACTTCTCAACACAGGAAAGTATACAAAAGATAACCTGTAAAGTAGCATCAAGCTGCTACTCCTATCCAAACAAAGAGAAAGGGTTCTCAAAAAATTCACTTAAATAGTTTCCAGCCACAGAAAGTGGGAAAGGGAAAAAAAATGTGGAAGAGTGTTTTAGAGAAAAGATAAAATACTTCAAAATACATAGTAATGGTAAATTTCAGAGATGAATTTATATATGCCAGATTTGGAAAAAAAAAATCCTCTAACCCACCCATTAAAGGTTGGAAGGGCCTTGAAATACTGAAAAGTTATTTCAGTTTAAGCACCATGAGAAGAAAGATGATATTGGGAAGCATTCATCATACACTATAAACTGAATACCAGCTATGAAACAGAATTGTCAAAGCTATATATATTGAAAGTGTAGTTTAAAAAACACCTTGGACAAAAGAAAATAATTCCAAGTCAAACACCCAAAAATCAGCCCTCACTATCTAGGTTTTTTTATGAAGAAGAAACATTGCTGTAGCAAAAGTAACGCATCCAAAGCAGCTCCCTGAGCAAGTTCTCATTTAAGTTCCAGTTTAAAAAAAGGCAGGGTGTTAGGGAGCGGCTCCCTTTGCTACCCCACTGAAGTATGCAGCTTCCCAGATTCCCTCATCCTGTGATTGAGCAGGTGTCTCCCTGGCACACAGTTCCTTTTGTGAAAGGAAAGGTGCTGCCCAAGTTTAATACATTACTGCTGGGAACAAGTTTAGAGGAGCCACTGCCTGTGTCAGAAGGCAAATGGGACCAATCAACTTGTGAGCTGCTGAGTGACACTCTAAGTCCTGCCTCTGAAACTTTTGTTATTTTTTCCCCTCAGCCTACTTCAATTGTTTCCACTACTTGGTCACAGACTCGGACAAGTTGCCAGAGATCTACAGGCACATCCCACAGCCCCGAGCAAGCTCCTCTTCACTAAGTCACACCAGGGGTAAGGAATCTCTCTTCTGTGTAATCTTTTAATTCTTGCAGGAAGGCACGCTGTAGCTGTACTTTTCTACAAAAAAACTCCTCTACTCAAATTAATAGCTGGTTTTAACTGTTTATCAAAAATATGGAAATATAGGCATTACAGCTCTGAGTCAAAGATATACTGCTGTGCGGAGAGTCTTTCAGGGATGGTAAAGGCAACATAATTTCCTCTATGTTCATGGGATACCTGCTGTCCTTGGGTAGATGATTTATACAGGTGGTATTGCACAAGAAGGTAAAAAGGTTTCGTCATGTTTCTCACACTCTTGTCTTTCCTTTTAAATTTAATACCTTTTGCCTGTTTTTTCTTTTGTCTATTTGATTTTGATTTTTAATCCAAAATTTACAAAGAGACTAACTCTCTTAAAGTTTCATAGAGGCATTCTTTTTCCTAACCCAAAGCTGCCTTTACCAGCAAGGATAAAGAAGCTCCTTTACCATGAACTCTGTAAAACTTTTTTCTGATCTAACACAGTGAGAGGAAAAAAACCTTTTTTTTTTTTTTTTTTTCTGTATGATGAAAAATTACCCTTAATTTAAAAATTTAAATGATTTATAGCAATACTAGAACTGAAATTATACCATATTACTCTAAGTGCAGTACAAGCTACAGAATCCATATAGTGTTTTTGCTTCGACATCCACTAAAAGTTTATTTTCTACTGTTGTTCATTGTAACTAACACACTCATCCTAGATTGCTTCTAATAACAGAGAAATAATTCAGCTAGGATTTGTAACATCATGTATTTCAAATTCAGAAAATAACCCTCTTATTTCTTAGGGAAGCATAGACATGTTGTACAATGAAATACATTCCCAGCTTTAAAATCACTGAAAAAAAATATGCATTTCAGAGAAACATGTCACATAGAGAACATTCAATATTTACACGTACAAATATTTTAAAAATAAGCACTATTCATGAATATGTATGTCTCTAAGGTACTTCTGCTCCTTACAGTCATGTTCCCCTCCTTCCATCAATTCACACCTTACTAGTTTTGTCTACATATGGGTCTGGTTATAGAAGAGACAAACCTAATTTAGGCTTTTAATTTTGTGAGGTGTGTTTTCCCTGTTAGTGAACAGATACACCCAATTCCTTTTCCTATTAGCGACTGGTAAGCATCAGGCAAAGATACATCCAGGTGCTTGGTTTTGTGCTCAGCAGCCTTATGCCAGTTTCAAATACTTAAGTGAGAGAAACGTCTGGACATGCTGTTACTCCTAAGGCAAGCAATCTGTTACAGAGTTCTCTAGAAGCTGTTTTCAGTAGGCAGAAGCATTTCAGACCTCCCAGTGCCTACAAAGAACAAGAAGATTTCGATACAGATTTTTTTTTCATGGCTGAAGTTACACATAAAATGCATTTTCAGGTGAAGAGAGGAGCTGAGGTTTATTCTACCACCCAGAGAATCTTTCTCTTCTATTGCAAATGCAGACCTTTAAAAATATAGACTTTATGCATAGACACATAGCTTGAACATACACACAGACACTTAACTGCTGTAGCCAGCTCTTCATTGGAAGCTGGAATGCATCCCATAGCTACAGCAGGTTAGCTGCCCCATCATCTTAATTTTATCCTGTTAGAGTTCAATAATTTAATGCAGATGAAAGAGTGGCTCAGCTGTTAAATTAAATTTAAAAATTTCACACTTATAACATCCCATGTCACAGACATCCAGACCCTGAGAAATGACCTACAGTCATGACAGAGGCATGTGCTACAGGGCAGGTGATAAGTGTTACAAATCAATGAAATTGATGAAATTAGTGAAATTAGGCATTTAATTCACAGCAGGCAATTTTGTCTTTTTTTTTTTGCTACTCATTTGTCAAGACAAGGATGCAATTGTTATTTAACAGACATTCATATTTATATATTACCACATTTTTATTTTTCAAAGCTGCATTTGTTTCTCATCCTCCGGGGAAGTTAGGAATATAGTGCCTCCATCATCAACAGGAAACTGAAATCAGCTTGTACTGGTAGTGTAAAGGTGATTTTCACTGCTTTTTCAGACCATCAGCAAACAAAAATGCATGGGATTACATGTACAGAACCACAACAGTAACTTTTTGTTTACTTTAAGAATCGTTTTATTTAGGAATAGAAAAGTACCCCATCTGGAGAAATAAAAAATCCCACAGGGAAGTCAGTTCTTTTCCCTAAAACTACGAGACACTTTATAACCGAAGGTTGCTTTTGCTTTCTGAAGACTGAAAAAAGGCTTAACAGGACCCTCCTGGCATCAAGTAAATTCTCAGAAGTTGAATTTATCAATTATATCCTTATCAATCAATGCCATATCAGTGTTCCTTGAGCTGCTAGAAGGTTAAAAACAAAACTTAGAATATCCCCTTCCACTTCTACCTTTTATACATGCTAGACATATTTCAATTTTTACTTTAATTCAAATTACACTTAGACCATTTCCTAATTAAAGGGACATTATGAACCACTATACCTAAAACTCAACATGAAACAATTTGTTAGGTAATCAGTGAACACAGCAGAGAATGGAGTTCATTTCCTAAAAGAAATGTACTACATAAAAGGCAGATCACACTAACAGACTGGAATTGGTATACAGTTATTTTATGTTTTATTTTGATGAGGGGAACCCACAAGTATGAAGATTCTGCCTAAGATCCCACTGCATGGTCCTGCACCATGCTGCAGGGAATTTAAACTTTAAAGCTAGTCCAAAGCACTGGCTCCCAGGCTACTCTAGTGGACCAGCACACATATAAATCCCAGTTATCCACAAGACATGTGGATAAATTTCAAAACCCAAAATGACTGGAGTGTTCAACTCTTCATCAATGTCACACCACTCACATTCTCACAGACTTGAAATACAAATAGAGGCTCTTAGGCTCTTACTGTTGGTCTTGTGTATTAGAACACTAAGAACAAAGCTACTCAGAAGGAAGATTGTAAAAACAATGCATTTGTAAGGGGGAGAAAAAAATAATCTGAAATGTGAGTCTTCCCCTATGCTCTCTGAAACACACATGACACTTCAGTACAAAATAGACAAAAGTTAAAGATAAAATGAGTTTGTTTTTCCTGTTATCAGCACTTCGCAAACTATGAGCTGAACTGTTGCTTCTTTCCCCATCCCAAGGAAATGTGTTCTCCATATAAATGAAAAATGACATTATATGCCACAAGTCAGTGCCTAAATCTTCAATCAACATAGCTTTATAGTACTTTTTCCATCACTATGTTTATGGTAAGACTTCTTTTTTAACGGATAGAAGTGAAATGCTGGGATTTTGGGACATCTCATTGTAAAAATTTATGCAATGGATTTATGCAACATAACCTTAATAGCCCCTCAGGGCTTCACTTGGTCATGCACAAATGCAAGAATTCAAGTAAGTCAAACCTCTTCTATTCCACTGATATCACTGCTGCATTTAGTGAACATATGACAGGAAACAGGCTGTGGCATTTCCAAGGGAGCCAAATTTATCCTGTATGACTTCAAGGGAGTCAATGTAGTTGCACCAGGATTGAGTGTGGCCCACAGTTTTCACTTTGGTCACGTACCCTCTCTCATTGTGAAGGGCACCCAGGAACAAAGATAAAAATAACCTAACACAAATCAGGGAAACAGTCACATGTCAGTGAAGTGGGAAGCAATAATTGTGATCAGTGACTCATTCTAAAGTATGGGGTACAGGGGATTCCCTACATAGTAACATACAGGGTCAGCTACCAGACCTCTTCCTGCAGATTCAGTCTGTGCCTAAAACAAACCTTGCACACCCATTAACAGCACTGATAAAACAAAACTGCACAGCAATGCACCCAACTGCTCCTCTTGTGTGATGCTCAGTCTTGTCACATGAATCACACTTTGTGACTTCTAAAAAAATATCAAATATAATTTGCCCTGTTGCTGCACTTTTGTTTCAAGAAGTGGTGTGTGCATGCACAATTCTTCTTTATATTGGCCTAAAACACTGGGGACTGAACAGCAGAGAGCAGCTACTATTTGTGACAATGATCAGTCTTTGTTTCTGTGTAATTGTTTTCCAAGATGCCAATTCTGACCTTGATAGCCACCCATATGCAGCTGCATTACTGAATCTGTTTCTCTTTCTGCACATTTTAGGTGGGTGACAGCACCATGGAGGATTAACAAGAAAGGTATGTGTTTATTAGTTGAACTTGAGCACTTGTAAAGACAAACTTGTTGAAATACAGACACAGAATTGGCTTCCTTTGCTTACAAGAAAACTTATCCCACAGACGTAGGAGGTTAAACACATAGATGTATCACAAACTTCCAAAACCACGTAAACTATTAAATCAAGAAACTCAATCTATTTTGTTCTCTCCTCATCCCTTCTCTACAATGTTTTCTAGCTGTATGAGGTATAAAGATTTTAACTTATACTACCTTCCATTTTTTAAGATCCTTTTGTATCCCCTTCTGGTCACATATGTCCAAGTATCTATTTTGGTCTTGCATCTGTGATGCCCAACCAGATAATACTGCTGTTAATGGAAGGACTTCAGAGACCTAGGACCTTGCCTCTTGAGTCATGCAAGCAAAACATGCAGCAACACAGCAGTGCAGGTGGCAGCACGAATGCAGTTACACCTAATGCAGTGCACATGAAATGGAATGTACATTTATTCTGTATGTAAACAGGTACACATTGATGCTGTTTCAACCCTTCTGTGGGCCCAAGGGGAAAAAAAAACCACAATCAGGAAAGATAAATGTTGCTGCAGCAGGTCACACACAGCCCAAAGACCAAGAGTTGCACACATCTGACATTGAAAAAATGATGTGAAATCCCCTGATGAAGTCACCCGCAGGAAATGTTGTTCTCTGGGCAGTGTCTGTCACAGAAGCTGGTTACACAAACTCCTCTCTATCCATGTAAATCCATTTGTGGTTCATCTACTGGGACTTGTCTGCAAGAAGATAAACAGTCTAATGCACTCTAGCCTGTACTGGGCTGGGAGAATGAATGTGCATTCAGCCAAGAGACTAGAATTCCTGCGCATGTCTTGCTTTTACTGCACCTGGGACAGACCAGGATTAGCAAAGAACTAAGCAGAATATACTTGGCAGCATTTAAACTGCTTAAATAGATGAAAGCAGGTACAGCAAAAAGTCAAACAAAGATGAAATATTTTAGTCACTACAAGAGTATGTTCTGGTGTATGTTTTTTTCGCAATAAAGCTAAGATCAACTACGGCTCAAAAATCATAACAAAATCTGAAGTTCAGTTTGAGAAGATGTCATCACATGGAATCCTCTAAAGGTATTAAAATAACCATGTGCAATCTGATTTCTTTTGAAAGTCTCTCTTAAATACCAACACTGCCACTGAAAACACATGCATTCTGTTCATATAGTACCATTTGACTCTACAGCCCAACATGAAGGGATTAAAAAAGGAAGAGCCTGAAAGACACTTTTTTTCCTTTTAAGGTTTTTCCATTTTAGCCACATATAAAGACAAATTCATGGGCAATAAAGTACCTCTGATTCAGTCAGGATCATCATGTAATTTGGGCAGCAGACATCTAGGCAACTGTTTTCCTTCATGTGGCATATATAATGTCACATATTTCCAAGAAAAAAATAATGAAGTGGTGATAAGGAGAGGCCTTCTGTGAAATATAAGAACACAATATAAATTCATAAAATGTTTAGGGGTAAGTGCAGCTTTAGGAGCAAAATTCAACAGATGCATATATCCTCATTACTTTTAAAACCAAGTTTTCACATATTGACAGCATAGACAATGACAGGCACCTTCAGAATCCAACTCACCATGAGCTAAACAAGGATACATCAAAGCTAGATTCTTGCTATGGAAGGTTTTATGTTGCAACTACTCATTTGGAGTTTTAAAAAAACTGATACCCTGTCCTTCCATCTGACATTAAAAAGAAGGAAAATACATTTCAAATGTAACACTCACTTAAAGTTGTGTAAATGCTTTGTTTTGTTCCTCACAGCAATCCTCTGCCTTTGCACCCACATTTGTAATACACTGTCCTACATGCATATAAAAAGATTTAGTCCTTGCTCTGTCTTGTCTGTTGAGAACTGTGCTACTAAAATTCCCTACAGCAGTGATGCATTAGGTTTTAACTGCCCACCATAAAGAACTTTTTCTTGGAATGGAAGTACTTCAACAAGATTTATTTTCCTCCCTTCCTGAAAAAGGTACTGGTAAATCAGATTATCTGCCCTGTCACTACCAGCCAGCAGGACTATCCAGATCTCCTGGCTGAAAGACCTGTGACCCTACTCTTATCATCAAGCCTTCACATGTGTTTGAACAAATAAAGCAGAGGGGTGTGTGTGGAAAGGCAATCAGACATAGCCTTTTCAGAGACTGTGTGAGATAGAGAGCTTGGGCTCTAAAGCAATAATCTGAGAAAAACTCAGATATCCACAATTTCCACAGTACAGTTACTCAACACTGCTAAGAAGCAGGCGCTCAGTAGCCTTCAGGAGGAGAAGCATAATACAGCACAAATCTAAACTTAGAACCCCAAAATTTAAAAATTCTGTTTTAACCTAAAAACACTACAAAAGCAGTATGTTTATTTCAGACTTGATAGACCTTTAAAACAATCTCCATTTGCACTCATAAAAACACTTCTGCAATTCTAATTGTCTGCTTTCCTGCTTTCCAGCTCTGCAAAGGCTGTCTAAAACAAAGAGAAGATATTAGGCACTTTGCACTGTTCCTGACCACTGCTCTTCTTTCCTGCACTTCTAAAACCTCTGATTTGTGCCCTCTGCTTTCTTGTTGCCATGGAGAAGGTCCAACACATGACCCGCTCCGCTCTGAGGAGAGCCTCAACTATTGAGGTCAACCCACAAGCACGCCAAAGGCTCCAAGAGCTCTTTGTGAATTTCTGCCTGATTTTAATATGCCTCTTGCTGATCTGTATCATAGTGATGCTTCTCTGAAGTTCCAGCACTTCTCTGCCCTGTCCTCTAGGAATGTCACCCCGGGAAGAAGAGAGACCTACACGTGCAACTCCCAGTGCAAGGATCCTCATGTGACAGGGGCTAGCACTTGGACTAGAGGGTGTGCCAACCAGTGCTCTGTTATCTTACTGCCCGCTACATGTATTAAAAACACATTTTCTGTGCAGAACAGTGTTTAGAGCCTGTAGTTACAAAGTTTTGCATGACTCAGTTTGTCAGTCTCAATCAACAGATGTCTTTACTACGTGGGGTAAATCAGTAAATCAGATTATCTGCTCTGATCAGTAACAGCCAGCAGCTGGTAAAGTCCATATTTTAGTCAGATAAATACCACCATCACTTTTTGGGGGCCTAAGTGTTTTTAGGTTTCTTGGAAAATCTTTAAGCCCTTGGAAGGGTTCCAAATTTGGATCATGCCTGCCCAAGGAAGAGCTTACAGGTATACAGCCCTCAACACATCCTGGGAAAATTTCTGCTCTGCCTAGTTCAAGGTGCTGCATCTCTGCATTATCAACTGAAGGCATTCAAATTGCTTTAGTGTTTTTCAGAGAAATATGAGAATGAACCAAAAATCTCTTCTAACTCAGAAATTAAAAACTATTTCATATGTTTTTCTCCCTATTTAAGGGATTTTATATATCTGACATCTGGAAAGATTTTTCATTATGTTTTACAGAAAAAAATTGACACTACCATAACTGATATAAAAAATTTTGTTTTCCATAGTCATTTGACTGACATGACAACTGGCACAACTTGGATTCTCAGAGTTCTTAATATTTGCCTTTAGACAATTTAATTAAGGCTTGTTCTAATTTATGTAATCATTTTCTTAGTTTAAAACTACAGAAAATTTGGAACTTGCCAATGTCACATGAGGTGGCTTACACCTGATGTGACAGTGGGCAAAGTCTAGGTCACCATTACTATTGTGACTGAAGTGCACCCATACAAATAACACATTTGCATGTGTATGTGATGTAACATCCCCATCTTCAGCTGCAAATTCCTGCTATAGAACATGCAAGTAATTTCCTAAAATATATGACAGATAAAAAAAAATCATCATAAACAATTATGCACAGGAGGGGAAAGCACAGCAGAAGTATCTTTTCAACATGTAAACCATAGGCTATATACATAAAAGATGACACATCTACTCCAAAAATTGTGAGTAAAAAGACTGAGTAGAAGACTTCCAAGCCTACTAACCCTATTACATGTTGCTGGTATTAAGCAAAAGTCCTAGAAATTCGATACACTTCTCAAATTTAAAGACAGCTCAAAAATCAACAGGCAGAGGTCACAGACATCCATTTCTTAAAGATATATTCTTCTATTCCATTTTATGTAAACATTCTTACTGATGAATACAGAAAATCAAAATAAGTTTATCTTAATAGTTCATGAGTAAAAGTTGACAATGAACAGCTGAGCAGGAAGGGAAGAAACCTTTGAAAAAACTTTGTATTCAATGGAATGCAAGCAAATCCCGTGGTGAATTTCCTCTCTGGTGATTAGGTATGTTGAGACCAGACTCTGAAATAAGATTACCCACTAGAGGAAATGAAGATAGCTATTTGTATAAGGATTGGGGCAAGCACTGGTGAAACTGGCAACACACCCACACACTTGCAAGTTAGTACATGAGCATTACTGATTTGCACTGTCAGTGTAAATCTCAATTTCTGTTTCATGCATTCTGACCACTCTCACAAATGCATGAGATTTTAGCAAGCATATTTCCCCGTTTTAATCCTCCTTACTTTTTTTCTCTTTTCAAATCTGTATTTTTGTGATGGATAGAGTTCCTAGCTTTAGTTTCCTTTGGATGTGTTTCAAGAGACTTCAATGGAAATTGACAACAGTTTTACAGTACTGAACACTTGCTGAAGAAAAGAAGTGTTAAGAGTAAAGCATCAACACTACATTCTGAGGACATGTTTGGGTTATAGGTTCCACAAGCGAGTAATATAAAGGAGTCAGAGCAAAGCACTGCTAAAAAATGGAAACCAATAAAAACAACTTCCAACTTCCCCTTATGTAACTGAAAACTCGTAACTTATTTTAAAACAATAACCAAACACGAACAAAACCAAGTTATCCATAAAATGGAAGCCCTACTGCTATTTTACAGCAATGCAGATATATTGCATATACTGTATGGTTCATTTGTCTTAGGCTTCTGTTGATCAGAAAATCTGTTACTAGCCTCTATATCACCAATTGTCAGCTGAACCAAGAAATTTTAAAAAAACCCTTTTGTACATAATACAATCTTCTTTGTAGACTTATATAAGCTTTAAAAATAATATCTATAGTATTTTTATTTAATAAGAGGACTTCTTGAAAAATATTAACACATAAAATATATCCGATTCTGTTTAGAAAGCATCCATTCTATTATTTATTAAAACTATGTGAAAAGAAGTTAGTCATCACACAGCTAATTCTCTATTTATTCTGTTTTGGTTTTCAAGAGTAATCTTGACTATTTTGTGATGTCCAGGTCACTTACATGTACCTGATTCCACTCAGTAGCTAGTGCTTGTAACTATTCCTAATGAATTTTCTGCAAGTGTAATCAAAAATTTCACCACTTTTATGAGCCATAATAAAAATTGCAAACATGTACAGCACATAGCTTGGATTAACTTTTCCATTCTCTGCTCCACTCCACCCTAGCCTATATTTTTTTCCTAATGCCATCTTACACACTAATAGTGAATAAAGGCACCTACAGGCAATAAATAATCTGGTATCGCTCTTCCTCAAAAAAAACAAAAACAAAACAAAGCCAAAAAACGATTTCCATGACAATTTTATATTGAGAAGGAGTTGAATCAGGAACCAAAATAAGCTGGTTTTAAAGATTTTTCCTCAGCCAGCTCCTCAGCAAAAAATGTTATAAGAATTGATTCAATAACTGAATAATTTATATTATTCTCTATGTTGAAAACATGACCCATTTATAAATTGAAACTTTGCTCTGACGACGACTAGTCAGTAAGGTGCTTTAGAAGGCAGATACTTGCATTTCTTTAATAAGTTTTCTACATCAATTTAGCAACAACTTCCCTTCCTGGTAGAACTGAACCACTTAGCGGACAGACACGAGTAAAACAGCCTTAAACAAAATTATTCACACACATCATGCTCAAAATGTTTGTCACACCCCTTCACAAAGAATTTTTATTTAAGTTTTGCTATAACTACATCAGTGACCAGCAGTACAACCAGGTCAGTGGTATCCTGGCATGCATTAGGAAGAGCATTCCCAGCAGTTCAAGGAGATGATCCTATCCCCCCTCCCCACTCCACCCTAGTGGGTGGAGCTGTAGTGCTGTGTCTTCTCTGGGCTCCTCAGTACAAGAGAAACATGGAGCTCCTGTAGCAGGTCTAGCAGAGGATGACAAAGATCAGTAAGGCACTGGAGTATTTCTGTTAAGAGGAAAGGATGAGGGAGCTGGGCCTGTTCAGTCTCAAGAAGTGACAGAGAGGGGACCTCATCGATGTCTATCAGTATCCGAAGGGGGTGCCAAGAGGCACAATGGATCCAGGCTGTGCTCAGTGGTGCCAAGCAACAGGACAAGAGACAATGGGCAGAAACTGATGCACAGGAAGTTCCACCTGAACATGAGTAAGAACTTCTTTACTGTGCAGGTGGCTGAGCACTGGAACAGGTTGCCCAGAGAGGCTGTGGAGTCTCCCTCACGGGAGATGTTCAGACACCACCTGGATGCAATCTGGTGCTGTGTGCTCCAGGATGGCCCTGCTTGAGCAGGAAGATGGTAGTCCCTTTCAACCTTATCCATTCTGGGATACACACAGAACAATAATCATAAAAAATGTACACACCTTTTAATGTAGGCTGAAACATACTTTATCTATATCCTCTCTGCCAAAATTAGAGCACAGTAATTGAACACAATAATTTAGAGAGTGGTCCCATCTATATTTGGAAGTGTATCAATACACTACAGATTACAGGCCAGATACCTATGTTTGTGTGGCTACAAATGAATAGTGCCTAGCAAAATACAATTGGAAATTTTTTGGGGAAATCCTGCAATATCCAGAGATGCCTTATTTAACAACAAAGGTAATCTTTTTAGCTTTGACCTCCATGATAAAAAGTGGGGGAAAAAAAAAAGAAAAAACAAAACCCCAGAACATATTTATAATGATTCCTTTACAAACTGAAGCTCATCTCAATAAGAATCCTGGTGATTTAAATTAATTAACACAGGCCCATATTACTTATTACAGATATTACTGTAGTAATATCTGATTGACTGCTTTATAAGTTTGGGGGGTTTTTAAGCTAAAATAATGCCAGAAGTTACATATTTGTATAAAATGTAAAACTATAAAACACTGCCCTCTTGTGATCTTCCCTAAAAATGTAGCTGATTATTAAAAGGAACTTTTGGCAACTGTTGGCAGTGTTAGGGCTGTGTGGGTTTATACGTTCCTTTCATTCCTATATTTCTATAAATAAAACCTGATTGTTAAGTTATTAATGCTATCTTAAAATAAGTAATTGCATATGTGCTATTAAAAGCACTACAGAAACATCCTCTGCCAGCTCAATACAGATTCTTCATAAGGCATTTCCAAGACTGCAATGGACCTTACACAGCACAGTGCTGGCGAAACACGACTGCACTACACGATGCCAAATCCTAGAAGGGTAGGAAATACTTCTATTAACAGACAGACATTTTGCCCAGACAAGAAAGCAGGGGGTGGAGGGGTGGATCACCTACAGAGGTATTTTAGAAGTAAATTTTCAACAGTCTGTCACTGAAAGAGACCAAGTCTTGAGAACATTTATTCTTCTGAAAATTCAGCGGGCCTGGAAAGTACCATACACATTGAAGAAGTCAATGAACTGCCTAACTGTATAAGAAAATTCAAGCCCTTCATCCAATTATTAGCTCTTCAGAAATTCTTCAGTACTGGAATGAAATTTATCATTAACCTTAATTTTTTTTCACTTTATTTTTAAGGTATTTGAGAAAAAAGGCTTGTAGGAGCATCCAGAATACCTTTCCAGGAAAAAACCAAACAACTAGCTATTGCAAGCATACATTTTCTTCTTAAGTGGAAGAAACTAAAAACCAGGGAAAGAGCTGTGGACACAATTAAATTCATGTGAGCCTACATGGCTTAGTACTGAAGAAGCAACCCTTAGCTACAATTAAAGAGTCTGCTGCAGGCACAAGAGGGCAGACTGCTGCACGTTATGGATCTTGCCAACAACAGGGGTCTCAACCTTCTACTCAACTTTCTGCTCATTGTCTTGGTTCTAGTACTCGCATTTATCCTTGTGAAGCTGATGTGAACCTCTACAAGGCTCTGCTTCCTTCTCAGATTTCACCCTGTGGATTTTGCAGTGATAATGTAGACACTTTACTTAAATACAAGTATGCAAAGGCTGCAGAGGTTGAAATATCCAACAGTTTGAGAAGGTGTTCACACCCCACATTTATCAGAAAGCAATCCTAAGAGCTGTGCACAAGTATCTACCTGCCACTGAGTGAAGAAAGCACCTACAGCCTTGCTGAGTACCTGAAGAAACCCAAGAATGCATCAGCAGCCACTGTAGTTTCTCATTGCTACAGCTGATTGTTTAAAGATTTACAAATTATTTGCAGCATTCAAGGAACATAGTTTCCTCAGAAAGGGTACAGCAGAAATCAAATTTTTAAAATAGGATTTCTGTAGAACATATATTTTGTGGGAAATAACAGCAGGAAGGCAAACCAAAATGCCAGCTTTGAGTTGACAGCACACATCAAATTACCTGTGGAGAGAAAAGCACAGATGCTGTAAATGGAAACAAAGATATCCTCAAAAAGCAGCTTGCAGTAGCAGAGATGGGGATAAGTGAAGGTCAAATATGAAAACATAATTATTATTTAGACCTTTTTTGACCACCTGTGGTTCACTGCAACACCTTAAAAGCCAGAAGCCTTCTGTTATCCAGCATATCAAATGAAGCAGCTGTCAAAACAATTGACAAAAGGCCATTACCCAGGGTTATCATGACTCTGCCCAGGAAACCCTTAGCACACCAGCAGTAGGCGCAGCTGCACTAACCCGTGGTACACTACAGCCTCAGTAAGAGGATTTACCACTTATGCACAGGTCAAGTGAGCAGTGTGGGAGCCCTCCAGTCGTATTTGACAGACCACTTGTTACTTGCCAGTGCAATCGTCAGTCCATAGCCTGTCCTCACCTCTAAGCATGCAGCAGAAACGTCTTACAGGACCTTCTTTTGTGGCTCTTTACAGGATGATGTACTTTTCCCACAGCATCTGGGAAGGAGAGTGACCAACAGGAGCATGCTTCTGTTGGAATGATTTTCCCGAAGGTAGTGCTAAAATAACATGAGAAGTGCTGGGAAAGGGGGGGACCAGAAAATTTTCATGCATTACACTGGAGCCAAAGAACTTCCTCCTAGCATGTCACTTTCCCAAGTGAAACACAGGGAGAGTGTACAAATGCATAATGTACAGTAAATTTATTACTACATAGATATGCATATAAACACACATGCAAAAGAGGTAGATGTTGTTTCAGGGATGGAGGAAGCCCCAGCTCCAGTTTCCTACTGCCAACATCCCTGATTCAGCACATATACTGCTGAGTGCTGAGTATACTATAGAGCTGATCTATTCATGTTCACACCAAGAATTTCTGTATGATCACTATTGTTATTCAGTTATCTGCAGGAGACTCATCTAAACTTCATCTTTAAATAGACTTTTCACAGGAAAAGGCAGTATGCCCAGCAAACCCAAAAGCTCAAGGAAGTCCTGCCATTAATAAGTACCTGCATTCCACTCCATACTACCTGCTCCAAAGCTTACAGAGCATTAGTGTGCTGGTTTTGTCTGGAATAAAGTTAATTTTCTTCATGGTATAGTAGCTAGCATGGGATTATGGTTTAGTACAAGTCCAAAGTGTAGCTCCCTACCAGCTACTATGAAGGAAATTACCTCTGCCCCAGCCAAACCAGCACAATAGCCTAGAGCAGCACAGATATTTCAAATGAAAGCTTTCTTCTCACCTGCTCTAAAATAGACAATAGGCAATAAACATTTGAAATGGCTTCTGCAAACTGCATACCCATAGTTTTTTTAAGTTGATTGTTATAGTAGTATGAATTCTAATCTGTTTGCATTTAAAGCAGGAAACTTTGCACAGCTACATCACAATAAGCACTTCATCATTTATTTCGATAATATTGAAATATTCTGCTTTAAAAAAATTTGTAAATTCATATACTAGAGATATGTGGTAATGGTTACATAGTTGTGTATTACTTAGGAGAATTCCTGTTGATGCTAGACATAGATGGCTCAAAGCATACCAAAACCACCAAAACATACAGGAAACCCACTCTAGCCCAAAGAAGAATAAGAACAGTTTTCATAACAAAATGGTTATTCATTGACATATTGCTTGGGACTACCCAAAGCCTACTGTCTATATCACCTTCTGTATATTCACAAGTTTCCCTATCTTAGGGAAACCAATGTGACACCAGTTGGCCCTGAAAGAACAATAAAATCATATATTCCTTTTCAATAAACTGAGAAAGATGAGCCTACTGCCACCAACTAGCATGTATTTCCAGATCAAAAATTACATACCAAGGAAGTCTGTGAGAAACTTAGCCATTAGAACATGGAGGAACAATCCCCAGGTACAATCCCAGAAGCCTCCTCTCAGCCAGCAGTGAACGTGACAGAATCCTCAACGAATGCTGAAATACGCTGCTGAAACTGAAACATGCATTTTCCAGAAATGACATATAAAGCTGGCAAAGTTATCAGCTAACCAGTGCCAAGGCTCATTTTGCTATCAAGCACAATCCAAGTTTGGCTTCCAATCATCTGCTAGCACTTACTCCAAACAGAACCTACAAGCGCCTTATAATAAACGGAATCCCATTTCCTGGGCTACCAACACAGCAAAAGGAACAGACCATAAAAGCTTAGTTATGGCTCACAGTAAAGGAATCCACTCTGCTAGCTAAAAGTGACAATCTCTCATGTTAAGAAGTTTTATATTCCTGAGAAGTATGGTTTCATCAACATGTGATATAGAAGAAAATGTTGATATTAATAATTTTAATTTTCTGATCTGACAGGATTATAAAAAAACCTAGCTTTGAGTTGACATTTAAGAATAAAATTTTACATGGCAACAATGTTATCTGATGAATGTTGAGACTTTTCTTTCAATTAAAGTTTTACAGCTTTGTTTACCAATGTTTAGATACGCATACAGTTTACTTTCTTCCTTTTCTGCTTTGCAATGAAAATTGTTCTAGTAACTCTAAACTTCTCATTGCATTAAAACTTAATTTCCAGCAACTTTTATATACATGGTATGATCAATCCAGTGTTTTCCTCATTTAAAAAAACCACTAAACCTGGTACATTAAAGGGAAAAGATGCACTTAAGTAATTTCCACCTATTATCTCTGCAATATTCTGATACAGTTTAACTCACCATGAAGAAATGATACAGATGCTCTGTACATGGGAATAGAGTGATTCATACTGTGGTACTTATAACACTATACAAAGTTAATATGTAGATATGCAATCTTCTGAAGCTTTCCTTCTTATTAAATGATCTCCATCAATTTTCAAGGCATGCTTTCATTTTAAATCTTATTTTTGGACTAGCACACAGCATGTACCTACATGCATTCAGATAACAGCATATAAAATAGGATCAGACTTTAAGAAATGCCATTGCTTGAAAACATAGAGCTTTTTAATTTAGATTTTACAGCCTCCAAGTTCAGTAAATGGGAAACGCAGTTGTTTTTTATAAGCATTTTTTTCTCTTAATACAGTCCTTATCACACATTTCCTTACTCAAAGATCAGCTGTATATTGAAAATAATTAAACAATTAAGCATATGGTGAAATATAAATTCTGCATGGAAACTGTTTTCATTAAAGCAGTATTTCTTTGTTTCAGTTCATAAACTGAAGAACTGTTAAAACCTGTTCCTAGGAAATGTGTAGGAGAATGTTTATTTTCAAAAAGCATACATTAAATAACTCACATTAGCTAAGGAAATGAATTTTCAGATCCAACTCCATGATGTTACACAATAACCAAAGACCAGATTTCCCTTGGAGATTTACTTCTGAAATGTACAAGCATCACACCCACAGCTGAAGGATGCACCTTCTCTAACAGGCATTCTGTTGTTCCACAGCACATTTTCTGCAGTTGCAAACCTGACCACATCCTGAAGGACAATCACAATGTAGGCCTTCTACCCAACACTCTGAGCTTCCCTTACAATGCACAGGAAATTTTACTTTACAACCCATTGTTTACAATTGGAATAGAAAAGCCACGTGATAGGCATTATAATCTGGGGAGCAAAATATAAGAAAAACCACCGAGTTCAATCAACTTCAGACTACTAAGAAAGCAGAGAATCTTAACATTGAAATTAATTAACCTTGGAAGAGCTTTTGAGGGGCGTTCCATTGTACTTTCCATTAGTCTTTAGAGTAAACAAATAGAAAGCTTGTCTGATTTTACTACTCTGTAGTAGTCTGTGAGGACATAAGAACTTATCTGTAGTGTGTATTATTAAGTCCAACAGCTGTTCCTGAACCATCAGTCCTCAAAATCAACTCAGAAGTCTATTCTCACTTCATTAGTGATAGTCTGTAGAAGGGGAGGCTACAGAGTGCAGCTATCTTAAATAAGCACAAAGCTGCTCTAGATTAACAGTTGAAAGCAAAGTTTGTTGTATTCTCTGCTTATGGCAATAGTAGTTTTAAAGCAAAATAATATTAAACTAATTTTTTTCAGTCCTAGAAAAACTACTACATTTCTACCAGGATATATACATATTAAGCAAAAAAGCAAAAGTAATCCTCGCTAAAAGGAAAAGAAAAATTAAAAAACTGATATAGAGCTGTAGCTTTTGCCCCTTTTATAAATCATCAGCTTCCTCTTATGCCTTCTACTCTATCTCTTAAATGTGTATTACACTTTGTATTGCAGTTCTCTTGGTTTCTCAGAAATAATAAAATATCAGATCCCAGGTACACATGATCTCTGAAAAAAAGGCCACAGCAGAATGATGCTCAGGTTTCTTTAAAAAACAGGTGTCAGGAATTCTCATTTCTTCATTGCTTTTGGCTTATTTCCTCCTTGCAGGTGTAACTTCTGTCAGAAAGAAAGAGGTGTGGGAGGAACAGCAGGGGATGCCTCTACAAGCCCAAAGGCTCACTGTTCTTGCACATGCTTTAAACTTCTCTGGGTCCTAATTCACAACCACATTTCACTCGAGGACATAAAACAAATCCCATTTCAAGGCCCAGTAATATGACTCTAGATCATGCCAATGGAAGCTTGGAAGCTTGCTAAGGCCATCAGAAATTTCCTCCACAGAGATGTAAAAGTCACAGGTGAAATAAAGGGGGGGAAAAAAAAAAAAAAGAAGAAAAGCCAGTTTTAGGCAAAATCTAAAAATCCTGGGAAGGTTCAGCACTGTTTTTCAATCAAAGTCAAAGATAAATAATGCTTGTGTTCCCCCTGCTGGCTCTATCCTCCAAATACAGCTCAGTAGCAATGCCAGCACAGATTAAAGTTTTTGAGTAACTGTAATAACATGTACAGGGCTTCATCTGTTTCAAACATGTAATTTGCCTTCATACTATATTTAAACATGATCAGAGGGAGAAAGCACTTGTGAGATGTGAAGGACAAAAGCTGGGAGTTGGTTTGATCTAAACAAAAATAAATTTCTAAAACTTCATCCTAAACAAAATGTTGTAAAGGCACATATAAGATGATGAAGACACAAGTATCTCAACGAAGTCAAAAAGTAAATAAAGCTTACTCTACTGTTGTGAGACCTTGTCTGGAGTACTGCATACACTTCTGGTGTCCCCAACATAAAGAAGAATGTGGAACTGTTGGAGCAAACCCAAAGGAGGCCATGAAGCTGGCAAGAGGACTAGAGCACTTCCCCTATGAAAACAGGCTGAGGAAGGTGTGGCTCCTCAGCCTGGAGAAGACAAGGTTGTAACCATCTCATAGCAACCATCCAGTACCTGAAGGGGGCCTACTGGAGCTCCTTCACAGGAACTCTATGGAGTAATGGGTACAAACTGAAAAAGGGGAAACTTAAGGCTGGGTATTAGGAAGAAATTCTTTACTATGAGCATGGTAAAACACCAAAACAGGTGCTCTGGGAAGCTGTGGATGCCCCAACCCTGACAGTGGCCAAGGCAAGGCTCAATAAGGCTTTGAGCCACCTGATCCAGTGGGAGGTATCTCTATCCAGGCAGAGGGGGTTGGGACTACATGATCTTTAAGGTCCCTTCTAACCCTGTCATTCTGTGTATTTAAATCCAAGAAGAGAACCACCAGGCACAGTAACCTGATCACAAATCTCACAGACAGCACCACTGGTGGCTGCAGCCAGCTACACATCTCAGGGATTTGGGTAGACTTGAATGAATGGATAGACCAAGCTCCCCCATGGTACCCTGCTGTCACTTCCCAAACCCCTTGTGTGCTCCTCAATGCCACCAGCAGGTGCCAACTGCTCAGAGTCCAGCTGGCAGTGCCCTGGACACAGCCTCAGCACAGCCAGTCTCTGTCTCTTCGGTTCTGAGAGGACCCCATCAGCCTCTGCTCCCTACCTGGGGAATTTATCAGCATCAGAATCTTTGAAGTGCTTAGAGAGACAGATGAGGGTTTCTGCAGCAATAAAGGTAAAGGGTGGCAACCTGTAACAATGTCAGGTTTTTAGACAAACTCTTAGAGATTACTATTAGTTTGGCCATAGTAATTGGCTTCAATTTTCTTAAAAAAAAACCAAAAAACAAAAAACAACCCCATAAAAACCCAACACAACAAAAAGTCAAAACACCACCAAAAACCAAAACCAGATCACCATTAAGAGCAAAAACTGGATGTTAATCTCTAAACTTGTCATTCTTTCCATCAATGTACAACAGAAGGAACAAGAAAACTTGAGCACAATTCTTTGTAAATTACTCTGTGTACTTCAGGCTGAACAAAACAGGAAAGTGAACATATAGCTGGATTATCTCTGCTGAGATAATATCCTAGTCTAAACCTAAAATGCCTTTCAGAGAAATTTATATATTGTAAACTGGGATTTATTTTTTTTTTTTGTCAAGCCAAGCCAAACTTACTAAACAAGTAAGCATGAACATGTGGATTTTAAATACTGCCTTCTTTAACAAACTTTACTTCCCCATTAGGGGAAGAGCTGGAAACAAAGACTGTTAATTTCATGTTAGAAAGTGTTACCTATCTCTTAAAACTATATGTTTGATAGTCTCAAGATGAAAATATTTCAAGTGTGATGCATCAACCACTCATACTATTTAAATAAACCAGATTTGTTGACTACTGTTAGTTGATTTTTATTAGTTAAAAAACAAGCAGCAATATCAAACTGAATTCCATTTTTAAGTGCTAGGCTTAAGAAGACTGAATATTCATTCACCCTTGCACTATACAAAACTCATTTTTATTTTGCTGAATGCATAAATGGAGCCTCTTTGTAAGCCCATTCAAGTCAAAATACCTTCATATTTCCCCCACTATGCAGTTACTCTAAAACTACTAAAAAAGCTACTTGATGAACCTCTTCCTGTGCACAGCTTCAGATAAAGACATGTTAATCCCATGCAGACAGGCAGAGTGAATCAGAGTAAACTATAGGCAGACAGCAGAAATGGAAGAAAACCCAAGAAACAACTAATGTTGAGAAACAAGCAGCAACAGCCCAAATCAAAGCTTAAAAATACCATCCCTTGGTTAGCAGGACCTGTTTCCTTTCCCGTTTCATTAAAAACTGCCTGTTATTCCTCAGGTATAACACAGGATGCCACATGATGGCAGCAAACACCAAGCTTTATCCTTACCTGCAACGGCTGGTCACCTGCTACTCTAAAATCTTCGAGCTGCTGCATGTGCCATGTGGCCACGCCGTAGGGCTCCTCAGCAGACCTGCAGTCCAGGGGATTTGCCCGTAGCTGCTCCTTGAGCCACATCTGAGTCCTCACTGCCGGCTGTATGGGAGCTCCGCTCACAGCCTGCTGTCCCAGGGTCGCGTATCTCTGGCCAAAAGCTTCACAGCTGCCTGCCGTAGGTTTGTTTTTGCTTTCAGGTAAGGCACTGTAGGTCAAGTCTAAGGCATGTCTCCTACTTGGGGAATCTGAAACAAAGTCGTCTTTGCTGCATGTTTCAAATTTGTATTTGCAGTCCAGTAGAGAAGAGCGTTTTTTCCCCATTTCTTTGTCCTCAATTTTTAGCAACTCCATGCTGTCATGCAAACAACTTGGCCCGTTTGTCCTTAATTGAGGTGGCACAGCTTTGTCCATACCAGCCCTGTATTCCACTGAATGACTACTTCCATCTTGGCTGAAATTATTTGGTGAGCTGAGTTTAGACAAGGAGGACCATTTTCTTACAGGTCTTGCATCTTTCATGTCAAGAGAATTGTCCAGGGCTCCCTGATTTCTGCCTCCTCCTGACCGTACAAAGCTCGTACTCCATTTTGAGCCATCAGACTTGAAAGCTTCCCTGTGTTTGGAAAGTGTAGAGCTGCCACTAGACAGCATCACATGAGCAGTGGGAATAGAAACCAGTGATCGGCTGGGCTTAAATGATGATGTACCACTTGAAGTTGAATGATCTGTGAAGAGAAATTAATCACGTAAGTAAGTTCAACACAGAGCCCATTAACATTAGTTCAGACAGGACAAAATATCAAATCAAGGTGAAATGCAAAAATAGAAGGAAAGAGGTTTCTTGATAAAATAGGGCCTTCTAGATCATTCTAAATCATGAGAATTGAAACTAATTAAAGTGGGAGATTTTCAAGTTTATTTTGTTCAGGTATCATGATCACAGAAAGAAAAGTGCACTGAACATTGGCAACAGCATCTTCAGATAGAATTCTCAGCCTGTGAGCCAAAGAAACCATTCCCAGCTTTAAGGTGGCAGGATGCATTTCTACCCCATCCCACATAATACTAAGGAGCACAAACAGCAGAGGTGTTCAGGAGCCCCAAGACTGGTTCCCATTCCATTATCCCACTTCTCTTTTGAAGGCAAAACAATTCAATAAATGTGGTTTGTAAAGTGGCAGTCCTGTAAACAAGCCAGTTTAATAACAGTCACTTGGAGAGAGTTATTCATCCATTCTGGATCTCACAAATTTCCAAGTATGCTTCCTGTGCTGTGTTTGGCTGGGAAAGAGTTAACTTCCTCCACAGTACCTGATATCAGGCTGTGTATTGGATTTGTTCTGGAGACTATGTTGGTGATTTAGGGATATTTCAGTGCCTGCTAAGCAGACCTTACACATAGCCAAGGCCTTTTCGGCTTCTCACCCCACTAGTGAGGAGGCTGGTGGTGCACAAGAAGCTGGGAAAGGACACAGCAGGAAGAACTGACCCCAGCTGACCAAATGGATATTCTGTATCCTGTGGCACTGTGCTCAGCAATGAAACTAGGGGGAAGGCTGGTTTGGGGGGCTGCTGCTCAGGCAATAGCCAGCTGATGGTGACCAACTGTTTTCATATGCAGCCTTTCTTGGTTCTTATTTATTACTTCTCTGATAATATTTTTCTTCTTTTCAATTCTTAAACTGTTTTTATCCCAAACCGTGAGTTTTTTGATTTTTACACTTCCAATTCTCTCCCCCATCCTACCAGGGTGGGGGCAGGAAGAGTGAGCAAGTGGCTGTGTATTTACAGACCCAAATACAACACCACAGAGAAACTGTGTCTATCAATTCATAAAATTTTTCCCAAGTCAAAATATCACGAACAGAGAAATCAGAAAAGTGATATTCAGGAGGGAACAGTAGAGCAAAGATGGGAGAGGTAAAGGAGAAGTTCTTGGGAACTGGCTGAGAGCTCTCACACACCCAGCAATATGTCACATGTCACAGGCTGTGGGCTACCAGAAATAAACATTTAATTCCCTCATTAGAGGATCACCTCCCATCAAGTCAGGTTCATGGCAGATAGACAGAATGAAATTGGTCTAATTAAAAGATTCTTTTGGTGTTTTGCCAAAAAGCAAAACAGATAGATTCTTCTTATTTCTTTTGTCCTAACCTAGAGTGAACCTATTTCTCTGAGATTTGTCAGCTAGTACGTGAATTCACACTGGGATCATTTAAAAGTTAAAAAAAAAAATTGCTCTACAACTGGCAAAGCCAGTTTGAAGGCTACACTAGGTTACTGTGATTTGGTAAAAGCCAGAACTTATTATTTATTAAGCACACTTTGAACGCATGTATTTGACTCTATATACTACACCACAGACAGGAAGAGAGCTTCCAATGGTGCAACAGCTCTCAAAAGTGGTAGAAGTTCTTTCTCCACGTATCCAAATAAAAATATCCCTACCTGCAACTTGAATATTCCTCCCTATTTGGGATCAGACTTCCTCACTTCTTGCATTTGCAGCCCAACACAAATAATATAATCCTACAGTCACACGCGTCATGAGAAAAATGCATTTTTTCTGCACCAAAGAATAAACAGTTCCCTATTTATTACATAGTTACTGCCAGAACTCCTAGAAAGGCAGGAAATCTTGCTGAAGCCTTCCTGCCTTCTAGTGAGTCCCTGTCCCACCATGTACCCACCCTCCTGTCTCAGAGCACAGGCTCATGGCACACAGCTTCTTGCCTTTATGCAGACACCTACTTTCACTGTAGTTACAGAACACGGCTCTCTGTAAGACTTGCCAAAACTGTCAGCTGGTTGAAGTGGACCAACAATTTGATGATCCTTGTAGGTACCTTCCAACTCAGGATATTCTCTGATTCTATGATAAAGTTACATGCTTGTTACCTGATTAATCATGCTGCTAAGTTATGTGGGGGTAACATTTTTGCATGCAAGATGAAAGATCCTACTTCCTCCCTGCACTTCCTCAAAAATCCTATAATGCAGAGAGAAACATTTCATTGGCTGCTATCTCTTGATGTTGCTCAAGAGGTGGGACATGTTAAAGAGGAAGATAGAAGGCCACACAACCCCTTTCAAGCAGAAGGAATCACAGTCTTCCTACCAAACACCTCAGTGCCCACAAATGTTGCAACACTGGAGATGGTGACATTGCAACACTACTCATTTCCAAATTGTGATGTGCCCACAACCTGTCAACTTTTTGCCTGAGCCAGGTACAGTATCAGCTTCTTTCAGCTCTGCCTCCTGTCTTCTCTCATGGCACATCAGACACCTGCATCAAAAGCCTCTACAAATTGGGTACATCTGGCTATGCTGCATAGCAGGGGCTGCTTCCTTTTGCCCTGCAATGGAAATAAGGATATACAGCCACCTGAGTGTGTCAAAGCAATGACAAGAAAGCAAAGAGAGGTATATGACCTAATGGAGCTGGAGTCTCAAACATACACATATATAATGAGACAAAGTGCAGGTTGGAGTCCTGCTTTTGGAGAACATGCAGCAGAAGAATGGGAAGAGACTCTCAGGGAAAGTAGGGAAGGAAATGCACAGAAGAAATAAATGCATCTCCTCTTGTACATATAATTCCTTAGCTTGAGGCTGCTGGCTTTTTAACATTCAAGAAAACTGACCTTTGTACAGAGCCTTACCTAGAAGCTGAATCTGATGCAGCACAAAGTCAGTCCAACAAAGGCAGCAGACCCAGGCCTTTTTATATACAAAGAAAATAAGAGTATACTAGGATTCAAAAAGAACTGACCTATATTTTAGGCTATGCAGATTTCTAGGAGTAGAAATGTTACATCTGCAAGAGAAAGGTAAAAGAAATCCTGCATACATGTAAAACTTAAAATAGCAAAAAATATAGAATGGTATTTAATATAGCATTTTCTGTCTAAAATACAGACTTAATGTTACCCATAATGCTCTTCAAATTAGAATCAAAACGAATAATAATTAGAAATACATTATCTCCTTCATTTATTAGATTACAGACTTATTAATATGTGGTAGATTTTTATTTTTCCTTCTTTGAAATTGAATTAAATTAAAAATTAAATAGTTCTGAGCTAAGATTTAAACTTCCTCACTTCCAATTCTAAACTCTTCAAGCAGATTTGAACTTGGAATGCCACTTATACCCAAGTACGGCCGATGGATGTCTCCAATAATTTGTCTCAAAGAGAAACACAGTAATTTTGGCTTCAAGTTGTCCTAATTAGTCTTAGTCATTAACGCTGACTGAAACATATGAGAAAATTCACACTTTTTCTTAGAGCATATTGCTCAAGTCTGCCTTGCCTGCAGGCTCAGCTGGAAAGAAAACCAGTCTGCCTTTGGAAACATCTTGCAACACAAAATGCAGGAAATTTGTAGATTTCATTGAAAATAGGAGAGAGAGAATAAAGAAAGCATCATGAAACTTAAGAGACATTACTTCTACTGTAGACACAGGAATAAGGTCCACCTGGACAAATCCTGCCAAAGACTACTTTATCCAAGCAGCAGAGGTTTTTCCCTTCCATACAGACAGGGGTAAGCAAATGCCAGTTCAGAACTGAAAGTGCTCTCTCCTTGGGATTACTTGGGGTTTACTTCCCTGATCTGGTATTTACTTCAAGATTACGAACACTCTCAAACATGGCTTGTGTGTCTCCAGAGTCTTTCAAAGCTTAAAACTGCTCTCTTCAATGAAAGCAGGAAAGAAGAGGATAAAAAAGGAGTTAGATGCTACTGGTTTTCCTTTCAGCAGAAATAAGATTATATGACCATTTTTTCAGTTATCCTAATAACTTTTTTGGGGCCTACCACAAAACTCCCTGGAGCACTTTTCTAATAGGCATGACATTTTGATACCTGATCCAGTACTTCCAAAGCCATATACATAAGAGAATTGAAAGCATGCTATTTTAAAAACACATTACAAGATTTTTACCATATAATAGCAGCAGATGGAATAAAAAAATGGAGAACATTTCACATGGCTTTCTTACCATCTTGTGTTACACTTCTGAAATATTTAATTACTGCTTATCTGGCATAGAAAGTAATGTAACAGAATCATTTTAGTCTTAATAAAAACTAATCACAAAGAGAAAGCACAGCAGGCACTTTCTTCTGAAAGAGGCGTAGAAGAAACTCTTCAATATAAAGTTAATGAACACCTCCTACTCATCTGCATTTTCCTTTGCTATGCTTTTTTAATTACTGAAAGAAAAACCTCTGAAGTAATTTCTCAGGCCAGACACATCACCCTCATGCAGCTACTTAAAATCCTTATCTGTCACCCAACAGTCAAAACACATCAGTCATAAAAGGTCCACTGTAACCCTAAACAGCTTCTAAAGCTGAAACCAGTGCTATGAGAACTCCCATATAAGATACACCTCTGCATGGGACAAATTCTTCACTATTCCAGATCAGATATTATCGAACAATAGCAAAGTAATCAGCTTATTATTAGTTATCCAACATTAATCAAAATCAAAGTGCATTTGATACAGGTGTTTATGGGATGCAAGTGTATTTAATGCCACTGAAAAGCAATGAACTGTCCTTGTGTGAAGGACTTTGAAATTTGATATTTTATCAAGGGTATAATTAGAATGCCCTGATCATGGAGAAAAATACCAGCATTAAAAACAGCTGGCCTTCTCTTCCTGTCCTCCCTTCCCACTCAACCCCCCAGAACACTGACATAGTTTAC